AAAAACAACTACCGCCAGATCTGAATTTAGTTGCTCCATGTACACGGGCCAAACCCATCGAAAGGTACACCATACGAGACTTGCACAACTGTGCCGTCAGCTGTGTGGAGTGGTCGAAAAATGGTATGAAGCTTTATTCAGGCGATCGGCAAGGCATAATAGTACTGACCGAATTCGACTTTCAAGCTGTAAGTGGGACGCTGCTATCGCTTGCATATCTTAATAATTTTGACATTTCTTGTATCCAGCACCTAAGCAAGTCATCCGAGATACTTGGCGAAACATATGAAATTGTACAGCTTAGCGTCTGCCAGAGTTATTTGCTGGTATCGACACTTTACCGTTCGGTCGTCTGCCAACTCAATAGCCTTACTGGTCAATGGCAAGTGACTCAGGTCGGCAGAAAGGATCGAAAAGTTTTAACCGAGATCGGTGGTATATTCCTAAAGCAACAGTCCAGCCGCCCAATTTTGATTTGTGGTCGCCCAGGTTTGCGCTTTTGGATTGCTGATACGGAAGGGAATGTGGAGAAAACATTACTGTTTCGTGAGGCCGTAGCGCGAAGTCCTACTTGGGAAATACCTATACTTAATCCGAAAGCATTATCGCAACAATGTCTTGCTTCCAACGGCGGAATCGGCGGGAGCGATGATGTAAACAGAAACTTTGGCACTCTATATTTATATGGAGGACAGGATATGCTGATCGTGACGCACGATGAGTCAACTTTGTACGTTTTGAATTTGGATCGACTGCGTGTTGAAGCGGTAGCCCGAGGTTTTCGAAAAATTCTTGATTTTTGTGTTTGTGGCAAGGAGATTTTTATTTTGGAAGGATCGCGTTCATTATTGCGACTGGCGCCATTGCCGGAAAAGCCGAGTAAAACTGGTAAGAAAAATTTGCCTGCATATATGTACATGCATAAAATTATAATTTGAGAAGTCGGTTAATTATTTTACTTTGGTATAGCCAAAGTAATTTTTAATCCTTTGCTATCGCCGGTTGAATCGTTTGAACCGCCTGAGCGACCAGTGGGTAAAGCAGACGAGTGTTATGAGTTGCCTCCAGTAGAGGCACTTAATTTGAATGTACCAATTGAATTAGCCGTAGAATCACCGAGGGCGGAACAAAGTCGGCGTTTAGAAATTTTCAATCAAATATCTGAAATGGATTTCGATCAATCGATATTATATCACAGTTTAGGTGGACGAAAACAACGTGCACGGTGGCACAGTCGTGATAGAGATGATATTACTGGTACTTGGTCGGCGCCAAAAAAGTCAGAGGGTATTGTAGAAATCGGACGTGTTGTGGAACCGGAAACAGGAGTAGATACGTCGAATTTGGCCTTGACGGCTGTGGAAGTTATGGAGGCGGATCCGAATGATAAGCACGCAGCTATGACAAAACCGACATTAATGGATAGCAGTTTTTGCACAACTACTGTGGCTAAGGTTTTAGAAAAGGATACACAAAGGTAACGTCAATTCAAACTGATCGTGCATTTCAAAATTAATTTCCTTTTGTTACTATCAAATTTTATTGGTTTTTTCTTATACGATTTTTTATCTTGTCAAATTTTATTTTATGTTCGTTCTCAACTGCATTATCGCCTACATCGTCCGAACCGAACAGAAATCCGCTATCACTAAAACCGAAAAGTGGCATTGCACTTATGCCTAAACAATCCAGCTTAGATTCTACTTCACCATCGCCAACACATATCCTTCCTGCTGCACCAGCTTCTACACCCACACCAACACCACTCAAAGAGCTTGCCCAAGCATATCCCAAACAAACAAAACTCGAAGACGCCGGCGTGCAAACAACTCCTCGCAAGAAGGTCTATTACATTGAAGAAGAGGACGTTGAGGGTAACATCTACACTGGTCAGCCAGTAGATGATCTTTGTCATGCAGCTTTGCATGCGGCGACCCTAATTGATGAATACGACAAAGATAACGAAAGCGGCACAACGTCAAAACTGCCAGCGCGCACCACCCCAGCAGTACAATTAAAATTCATTCCCACACAACCAGTTAACGAGGAAATAAACAGTTTTTTACCAGATTTTCGTCGAGCATGCGATCCATGTTCTCCAAGGGTACATCAAAAAACTCCGCCACCCTCGGCGGAATCTAATGGTAGTTCCAGTGAATGGGAATTCCTCGATAATTAAAATACACTATTTTTTAATATCACATCAGTTCTTAGGTAATTCGCTTCTTACGAGTGCTGTTTCAATCGAACATAATTATTGTATGAATGATTTAAAATCTTTGTCAATTGTGAAAACAGTTAACTTTAATTAGTTAACTAAACCACATCTGTATTATAATTGGTATATTATATAGCACTATAAAATTTTATGTTAAATCACATTTTTATTCCTTGTTGTAGCATATTGTAATCGCTTTCTGTTTTATTTTATCTCATGTTTTAAACATCAAAATAATTATGCAATTATTTGCAATAACAGTATATGTATGTAAAAAAGCTATACCAAATAAAATGCATGGTTTATTGTATTTTATCGCTTAAAGGATTTGTGTAAAAGTATGCAGAAAATCGAGTTTGTGTTTTTTTTAGTAACTTATTTATCCGCTTTTGCGTTATATATATATATTCATATAAACTATAAGTCCGCTTGAGCCGACCGTGAACTTCAGAAACCGGAAGTGTATTTATATAAGTTATCCCAGAAGATAATTTAGGTAGGCCTTCTTAAGCAGAGCCTCTTAGCTACCCAAGAAGGGCTGCAAAATGTGATTTCTACGCGAATGCATAAATTTATGTTATTTAGCATTACAAATGAATTTCAATAAACAGCTTAAGTTCCAATTACACATATTTGATATAAACTTTTAAGCAAATACTTCAAAGATGTATGATTTTTATAAATTAAAGAAGCAACTTTAAAATAACTCCTCCAAACGGCCTTCTGAAGTATGTCCTATAAAAGCCCTTTCCGAAGGACTTCCATGGGTAGCGAAAGAATAAGCCCTTCAATTTGTGCCACCCCATACAAAAAAGAAAGGAGAAAGGAATATAGAGTGGAATGCCTCTTGACCCTCAGGAAGGCCTTTCAGAAGGACTTTTAACTCCTGAAATTATCTACTGGGGTGATGTATTTTTCAAAAACAAAAAAAAAAAAAATAGGTACGACAGCCCAAAAGCAAAGCAAGTGAGAATTTTAGAACGTGTTATCTACCCTTTAAACACAAATTTTGTTCCCAAAAAAGGATGTATATTCGTTAATATCGATACGACGAAGCGAAGCTATTCGCTCCTATTCCGAATGTCGGAACGACAGTCGTTCGTCGAAATTTGAGATTTTCATTGGCGTTATGAGGCAACCATTGACAAAATCTACCAAAAAATTTGGTTCCTCTTATCCTTTCGAAATGAAGAAGTATTGAAAACGTGTTAAAATCTGGCGTTAATGTTTTTATTTACTTTAGTTTAATGTTTATTTATTTTAGTGGAGCGGCGAGCCAAGCGAAGAGCTAGCATCGAGCAAAGCTTCAATTACAAACGAGAATAGATATACGCTTTGCTCTTCACTATGTGCTCTCCCATTAAAACATATGCGTTTAAAATCGCCGCTTGGCTCGATGCTCTTTGCTCGCCCCTCCACTATTTTAAACCCAATTCAAAAAACGAATGTCGAAGCGGAGGATTGCGACAGCTAGAGGGGGGATGATTAACTACAGGTTTATCAGGCAGGTTCTGCAATTCACTTCCGCGTGAAATTCAACAAAACTCACCTTTAATTCGACTTTTTTTCGGATTCCAGAACCTGAATATAAAACTCGGAAAGTGAAACACAAACTCCAAATTATGGATTCAAAGTGATTTTTGTTGAAATTCACTCGGAAGTGAATTGCATAATATGCCTGTATATCCGTTAATTTTGCTATCCCGATACCTTTTTTATAGAACTCCCTGCCCTAGTTCTTAACAACATATACGGAATATTTCTATGTTCCTCCTTAGTATCTTCGTTTCAAAATGGAAAATACCGATATATTTCCGATAAGTGTCAATAACGCCATACGTACGACGGAAACTACCACAGTTTCAAAAGCGTACTTGACTTTACTTTCCTCTACAAAGAGACAAGAAGAAGAGATGGAAATATGTGACTGCAAAGAGCAAAGAGGTTAGACAGCTTACGAAAAGTTTTCGCCACTTTTACAATTCGTCTTAATATTAATGAATTGGTTTCTTTGAGTCTTACTGCTGTAATAACGGCCGCCTCGAGCAACTTCGTCAATCGGAGGTAGATGCAAGATCACGCTTACACAGTGTAACGGTCTTTATGTGCATATTTAAACGCATCCTTGATTTAGCCATCTGAAAAGTAAATTCGTCTGAGATAAACATAGGGTCTAAGCAGAACAAACCCCGTGGGGATTTCTATATATTTCGCCTGCAGCGTCATCCATTGGGTCCATTTTCGGCAAAACCTTTGCTTGTCATGAAATGTATACGCATTATGAATTCCAATCGGATTTTATAAAAAATACGGATTTTGTAAATACCGAAACTCCAGGAATTTTTCATCAGAAATCGGTTAATAAATACGACTTTTATAAGTAACTCTACTCCAGCATAGGACCATATATGCAAGGTATAACCTCCGACAATTTGACTGGGCTCTATTGAGTGGTTTTTGAGTTTAGTCCGAAAAACGGAAATGGCTATCATTGTATGTAAGTAATATGTTTCGAATGAAAAAAAAAACATCATGAAAGTAATAAACGTTTCGAATCATGCAGGTAGCTTACGAAATCGCTCCATATATACAACTTTTATAAATAAATCGCCTTCCGCACTACCTAGCGGCTCAGTTTTTGGTAAACGTATTTTCCATCATGCTGCAACTATACCTTTTGCATTTGAAAGAAATCGGGTCACAAATACGATATTTATAAATAAAGCGACTCCAGCGCCACCTAGTGGCAAACGTATTTTTCATCATGCTGGTAGATTACCTTTTGAATTTGAACGAAATCGGTTCATAAATATGACTTTTATAAATAACTCGACTCCAGCGCCATGTAGCGAGTTTTCTAGTAGCCTATAATAGGGCCATATATGCAGGGTATAATCTCTGAAAATTTGACTGAAATCTATCCAGTAATTTTTGAGTTAGTAAGTTGAGTTAACGTAATGCGAATTTTAGTATGTTGTTGCCCATCGACTGTTAGTCGCCATACACAATAGGGCCATTGGTGCTTCTAATTGGCGCCAATCAGAGAAAGGGAGGAAAGCAGCCGAAATCACTTAAACGGTTATAGCGCCAATCAAGAAGAAATGAGGAGGAAGTTCTCTCATAATTTTTGAGTATGCCCTGCAATTAGAAAGCCGCGTTTAAACGATCCAAAAATGCGTCCCAAATTACTACGAAGAAATGGCATGTTTAGAGTTATATTTAGGACGCATATTGTGCATTATTTTTTATCGAATGCTGTATGAGTTTCTTAATGCGAATTCTTCAAGCCGTATTTCCTACCTACTTATCTCGAAAATTATACATACATATGTACATAGTATGTACATATGTGAAATACAAACGTCACCATCCACGTAAGTTATTTCAGGGACTTGGCGCGTGCACAGTTGTTAAAAAAATGTGTATTAAACTAAAATAAAATAAATTTAAAAGTTTTGATAAACAATTTTAAGTAATCAACATTTGCTTTTCACTCAATAAACAACGTTCATAGATATTCGTGAAAATATGTATTTTTACTATTTATTATCTAAAATTTAATATGAACAAGTAATTTTTAACCAAAAAAAAACAAAACCGACTTCAATTCTCATATCAAAACTTAGGAGTGCCGTTAATTTTTTTATGATCTAATGATCGGATCTAAGAATGGGACCACCTCTGAGACACTACCTTTCCGATGCAAAAAGAATTCTCGAAATCGAATACATAAAAAAATATATATATACTCCGACGAACTGATAACCTCCTCCTTTTTTTGGAAGTCGGTTAAAAATAGAAACACTAAGCCGGCGGTCATGGTCATCGCATTCTATTACCTATTCTACCAAATTTCCAACCAGTAAATAATTACAATATCGAATCTATGTAAGTGTGTATGCAGGAAGACCCTTCTCCGCTTCTTTAAGAAAATAAAACCTTGCCTTTCGTGTTTTCAGTTGAATAACTTTTGTAAGCTTTTATGGGATCAATAGACATATAATTTCCAATATTTACTGAGTAAAATAAATCGAAAATTTTAAATTGGCCTAATATGTATCATCTATGTATATGCATTAGGGTTGTACTCAAAGTCGTAGGTTTTTACTCTTCAAATTCACAACAATTGCGCTGGCATGAACGTATCGTATGGATAATGATGCTCTGGTGAAAAGATCCTTCAACTACATAGGTGCCCATGGATGGACAGCGCAAGCATATATACCATGTACAGAGGCACGCACTGGCGTAACATCGCAAAGGAAGAGGCAACTGTAAAATATGGCGAACGGAAGATCTTTTATGAAAATATGGATATATTATCTTTATAATTGTAAAATCGTTGATATTCGAAGGAATAAAAAATATCCCTTCAATCCACTGTCCTTCGCATCTTTAAGGAGTGTGAAAAACATTAAATAATATCAATATTACCGACTTCATCTTAATAGAAGGAGTTTTTAGAAAGTAATATTTAGTAGGTATCCCCATTCGAGTTATTTCCAGTTGCTTTCTTTCATATTTGTAATCCTTGCTCCTTTAATTTGGAGTGACATACAATTTTGAACCCATACATAACAAAAGCACAGCGTCACTGATGCGATTAAGTAGTATTTATATATTTTTTAAATTTGTTTCTCGCCGTTAAAAAATAGGGCATCCCTTTTACTCCATCCAATGCGCGACTGTGCTAATAGTTATGATTCGGTGTGAAAGTTTGGCATGTTTGCTATTGCTTTCTTTTGAACAAAGCTACACATTAAAGTTAATTGAATTAATTGCCAAAATTTGGAAGTGATTTCTAGATAAATGCAAGGTTAGCAAGAGCACTGTTTGTATGTGAGTACTCGAAAAAAAATAACCTCCAATGTCAAATGGTAATTACTACAAACCCTGTTTCAGAGATAACTAGGAATGCATCAGATCAAATGAGTAAACAGAAACGATACAAATTGTGTTAAACGAAATGGCAGATAGTTTTGTAAAAGACGATGCCAACCTCACAGCCACAGTTACAGCAGATGAGATGAACTCACCTATGACAGAGCTGGGCATCGGATTGCCCATTTCTCCGATTAGTACTAAGGTACTAAGTAAACTTCGCACGGCTTTCGAAATAATTTTAAATTACATTCACACCGATTTTGGCGGGGCAGTACCGATTTTGAAAACATTGCCCCGCTGAATATAATTTTTTTTAAGATTTTATAATTAATTGTTAAGTTTTTTTAATGAAACGATTCTAACTGGAATTCGATGAAATTGTAAAAACAATACATATCCCCCGAAAAAATCATGTATATGAAAAATATAAGACATTTTAGCTTTCTTTGGCTATTCCACTTTCGATTATTTAGTGTTTTATATTTTATTTTTTATGAATGTGTAGGTCGTTATCTAACAAAGACCATGTATGTCAAAATTTCAAAACTTGTACAAAAATTAGTGAAATTGGACAGAGTTTCATAAAAATTTTTTATTCAGCTTTTTAATTATATTTCTTAGAAAAATTATGTGTACCGTTAATTTTGGTAAATTTTTTTTGGGGAAGGCGTTGCTCATTTTCTTCATACAAAAAAATGCGCGATCAAAAAATTACAGTAAATCAACAGTAAGTCCAAGCTACTTCAAACTTGCACTTTATTACATGTATGTACTAACATTTACTGGACTACAAAACTGCATACTCAAAACAATTTTAGAAAATCTGATTAAAATGTTTAAAATTTTGATCAACATTTGTTAAAATTCGTCGAATTTTTATAAATGTTCCTCAGTTTGAAATTTTGATTTAGATGTGTTTTTAGATAGTAAGTTATATTTTCATAAAAAATAAGAAAGATTTTTTAATCAAAGAAAAGTAGTAAAAACTTGCAAAAATGTTTATTCCCTATTTATATTCTCGCCACCGTATATCTTATGTGTACATATGTTTGCGATCATTTTTCAAGATTTTTCTCCTTGTTTTGTTTTAAATAAAACTGTATTAAAATATGTTGTGTCTTTTCCTTCTAAAAACAAAATTGTTTGTCCGGATTCAATGCTTTAGAAATGTACCGATTTTTTGACCACAGAAATCTGGTCACCGTACATATATGTATATGTAAAACATTTTATTTAGCAATCTGAGGAAAATAAGTGAACTCATGGCCAACCAAGCACGCTTTAGAAGCTTTTTGAGGATGAATTGCCTGCAAAAAGTCCCCGACTCATCTCTAACGAGAGAGAGTATTCGCTTAACAAAACGGGGAACCCCGTTTCGCATCGCAGCCAACGAAAATTTTTATTTTATTTTTTAAAAGTAACTAGTCGCTTTTTATACCCATTCGGGAATAAAGGGGAACAATTAGACTCTTCATAGGACATACTCGAACAAAAACGAACAGTTTCTTCCATATAAAGAGATCAAAAGTGGTATTAGTCGCAAGTTCCTTTGCGATTGCTCCCGGAGTCATCCCGGATTAATCGCATTTTTTGCAGGAACGGACATGTACACATACCTACACATAAATATGTACTGCTATTAGGCAATTTCCAATCTCCAATTGCCGACAGTAGAGTGCATGGACATTTTAAACAAATCAATTTTGTTCTGCTCAACTCAGCTGGTGGAAACTTTTTCTAAAAAATACTTCTTTGTTTTGGATTTCTTTTCGCATTACTAGCTATATACATATATACATATGTATGAATGCATGTTACATTAAAGTTGTTTGACAATTTGCAAAATATTCCAGTGCATTGAAGGAAAAATACTGCACAATAACAATTTACTTCGAATTGCAACAATGGCCTGTAAAATGGTTAAATATTCTAGACTGCTTGCAAGTAAATAGCTATGTGATTAAATGCAATACTCTCACATATATACGTATGCAAGTACAAACATACATATGTATGTTAGTGCGATAGCGTGAACGTTGTTTGTTATCGTTTTTATTACAAAAAATTCTTAGAAAATAAATACATATAATAAATACATATTTATGTACATATGTACGTAAGTTTCCTTGGTTAAGGACTTCTCTGAATTTGATATTAGTTCCGTTCATGTAATCTCTAGTAAAAAGTTATCCAGTAACTTGCCAGTAACCTAATTTCAGAGAATTTGACAATATTCGCGATCAAAGAAATATAAAACAAGTAATTTTTAAGCAAAAAACTATAATAAATTCCCATATAAAAATTTAAGATTACCGTTAATTTCATTATGATCCAATGATACCTTAAAAAAAAATAATGATAGAAATCGGTTAACGTGGTCCAAAGTTATGCGGCAACATACATAAAAAAATATTCCGACGTATTGATAGCCGCCTAGCCTGAAGTCGCTTAAAAATATATAGTATGGGTTATGGGATTATATATTTTTTTCAATTTTACAACAATAAAATTCTCTAGAGAATCATAATCTTTAACCGGATGGTGTAAAACCCAAAAAGAAATTTTAAAAAATTACCGGTACAATTCTTGCACTCCCGTAATAAAAAGAGAGACACCGAAATCCGTTAGCGCGAAGAGCTGAAAAGAGCCGAGCTGGCATCCAAGTGCATCAGCAGGATGACACAGAGATATAAAAGGTAATTTTGAGGCAAATGAGCTGGCCCTGTACAGCAAAAGCCTACTTCATCGAACTGGCAAACATACACTGAGAAAAAAAAATCAACCAAAAATTGGTTAATACATATTACCAAATTCAAACTTGAAAAGGAATCAACGTGATTTTTTTAGTTAATATTTATGTATTAACAATGCCTTGGTTAATATTTTCAACAATGATTTGGTAATATTAACCCCGTTTTTGTTTACATTAACCAAAATTTTTGGTTACCGGTTTTTCTTTTGAATACGCCTTTATTCGGCACTTCACAGATGCTTTTTCATAATTCCTCTGAGGGGATTTGAATCCGCATATTCTGAAAGCTACTCAGCTACAACCGCTTTATAAATGTGTCTTCAAATATTGAACTAAAAGCAATTATTTTCGTCGTTTGATTTAGTTCTGCAATTTACAGATGCTTTTTCGTAATTAAGAAAAACCAAACACAGAAAAAAATATAAACAATTATGTATTGCCGCTTACGAAATTGGAAACCGAACCCGCTGGAAGCCAACAAATACCAACAAACTCCTCAAATGTGTTTACAAATGTTCAACTCGAATCACATTTCTTACAATCGTCAGTTTTGGCCCTGATGCGACAAAGTAGGTGCAACGCACTCATTCTTCTAAAACGCCCTATACTCATGGTAGTTGTTGGAGTCGCCACCATTCCTTGCCTAATGGAAACACATGAAGGTAGCATGGGCTATCCACAAAACGACTTCTGTCGAAACTGAAGGGTCGAAGAGGAAATCGAACACGTTGAAATCTTTCTCTGCCACTGCTCAGGATTAACGGAACACAGCTTTATAAACATTTGCAAGGAGTCTTGCGGAACATTGCAATAATAAGGGCGAATTCCTCTAAGAAAAACTTTGGCGACCTGCTGATCAACATCCTCTAGCCTATTCACAAAAAAAGACGAACCCGCCATATGCGCCGAATGCCACAGAATCAGTTACTTCTTCTTATTCTTATTTGGCTCTGTAACCACCTAAGCGATTTTGGCTGAGTTCAACAAAGCACGCCAGTCGTTCCTTTTCCGTGCCAACTGACGCCAATTGTAAATGCCAAGTGAAGCCTTCTCCGCCTGGTCTTTCCATCGCAGTGGAGGCTTCCCTCTTCCACAGCTACAACCAGCGGGTTCCCAGTTGAATGCTTTCAGAGCTGGTGTCCATTCGAACGACATGGCCAAGCCATCGGAGAGGCTGTATTTTAATTCGTTACACCATGTCCATGTCGTTGTAAGGCTCACAAAGCTCATCGTTCCATCGTCTGCGGTACTTGCCGTCGCCAACGCGTAAAGACCTTCTTTCTCTCGAATACGCCAAGAGCCGCCTCATCGGTTGTTGTCGTTGTCCATGTTTCTGCGCCATATACCAGCACAGGCATGATGAGAGACTTATAGAGTGTGGTTTTCATACGTCGAGTGACGACTTCACTCCTAAATTGCCTACTCAGTCCAAAGTAGCACTTGTTGGCAAGAGTGATTCTGCGTTGGATTTCCTTGCTAACATTATTATCGGTGTTAATGCTGGTTCCCAAATAAAGGAAATTCTCTACTTTCCCGAAATTATAAGTGTCAACAGTGTCTTGGGTGAAAAGGCGCGAATGTGCTGAGTGTTTGTTTGATAGGAGAGGACAGGAGATACTTCGTCTTGTCCTCGTTTACCACCAGACCAATTCGGTTTGCTTCCTTATCCAACTTGGAAAAGGCAGAACAGACTTCGCGGTTTTTGATACCGATGATATCGATGTCATCGACATAAACGGCCAAATTTGTTCTGCCTTTTCCAAGTTGAATATGGAAATAAAGCGAATAGGTCTGTAGGGGAGTGAGGGCAAGACTAAGTATATCCTGCCTTCAAGCAAACAGAAAGCGCATGCGCTCAAGCCCTGAAAGTTTTCAATATGGTACCCACTGGTGGTAGCAGAGGAATAGGAAGGCCTGCTATGCGATGGAAAGATCAGGTGGACATAGACTTGGCTTCACTTGGCATCTTCAACTAGCAAGAGCAAAGGCTGGCACAGAAGAGAAAAGGCTGGCACAGAAGAGAAAATGCTGGCATACTTTATTTAACTCGGCCAATCGCTTAAACCGGCAGAGAAGAAGAAGATTCATACATATGTATGTATGCGTGTTTGTACATATGCAGATTCCATTGTCTTTTTTAAACACCAGGACGCAAACAAGTTAGTGAAGGTCAGACAAGGAGGTGTGCATTCCAGCCACAAGTGACTGTTTCGCGACATTAATTGCAACGCAAAAATCAAATGTTCATGAAACTGACAAAACTAAATAAACACATACAAAACGCATATTATGCAAATTATGCTATGACGTTGATTTATATACATACATACATATGTATATATGATCTTATATGTCATCTCGTCAAGTGCAATCAGAGCGCATCTTCAAATTAAATTAATAGAACACCATTAACTGCGACTTGCCTACATAAATTTCTATTAAATTTGTGAGAGCGGAAGAATAATCCAGAACTATCCAGCGATGAAAGATACCTACATCTATCACTCTCTACGAAAAGTACCACAGATACATATG